CCCACATGGACTAGGACCATGGGGTAATAATCAGTGGGCTGAATGACGGTTTGGAGCATGCCTATCACATAGTGGATAGTATTTTCCAAAACTCCTAGACATACTGGGCAACATCTTTTAGCCCTTGGAATGGAAATCTACATCCAGCCAGAACAGCTGTGAGCATCTGTTCGGTCTTGAGTCTAGTCAAAGAGGCTTGCCATTTAGTATTGAGATCCAACTGTAAATACGTACCCCCTTCCCAAATTGATTTTCCAAAGAATATGTAAAGGGGCAATATGAGTATCCCTAGTGACTGCAAAGTCATTCAGCCTGGCAATATTTTGTATCCTCTGGAAAGCCTAAACCTTTTCTATGTGGGAGAAAAATGCAGCCTCCTCTGAAAGATGGTGAGTAGGGTTACCGTAAGTCCAGGTTTTCTTGGGCACATTCTCTTTTTAAATCCTCCTATCTCAATCCAGGCGTTTTTTTTAAAATATGGTCAAATGTCCGTGATTTTGGTTAGCTTGGCTTCAAATTTTTTCCCAGGACTTCCCAGCTTTCCCTAGCAAGGAGCTGCTTGGGGTTGGGGAGAGGGCATTTGGGGACAGGGCACACACACATGACCAGCATGTAGGCAGGCAGGGGGTGGGAGCAGCCCTAGCAGCTGGATACAGGTAAGTCTGTGGGGGTTGCAAGGCTAGGGCTTGGGGACTGTCTGGAGGAGGTGTGTGGATGTGGGTGGCAGAGGTGTATGGAGGACATGGGTGTGTGAGAGGGGTGGGTACCTGCCAGTGCTGGGGGAAGCTGTCCGGGATTATCCACCCATTAATAAAATGCAGAATGCAGTATCGGGCTTGGTTCTGACGGCTATGCTACAAATAGGAATCCCACCTCCTTTCCTCATGCTTGTCTTTGATCCAGTTCTGTTCTCCGTGATACAGACATGGAAGTTGGTGAGGTTGTACCTGTGAGACACAGTGGTGTATATCAACTTTATCATGTCGTTGACTGTAATCGAACAAGCACTTACAGATGGAACTCTCATCATATGGGTGTTTGCATGCAAAGAAGACTGTAGGTCTGGGCCTAATTAGTCTTTATTTTGAATATTATTTGCAAGTTTAAATTTCAGAGTGAAGATCCTCATAAAAATCCTTCTACATCCTAGAAAATCCTATTTTGTATTGCACTGAATTCACCTGCCTCAAATATGCAGATTATATCTTCTTGGAGCAGCAGTATGGGCACACGGTCAAACGCCCAGTGCAGAGAGGCAGTGGTGATTTCTGGTTGGCAAGGCAGCACCCAGGGCAGTATGAGAGTACCTACAGCTGGTGTACCACTGGCACTGCCCTGGCTACAGTTCTGCCCTGGAGACAACCTGGTTCCCATGAAGGGTTATGTCAGGATGTTTAGTAAAAACCTCAAAAATGATAATTAGCACTCCAAAATAAGTATCTCAAATGTATCATACTGAGTAACTAATGATGTGGGCTTAACAGTTCTGAGATTTCTGGAAGAGCGTTCTTCTTATCTTTATTTTATTGAAAAATAAACTGTATTGAGATGTTGATAATACATGCTTCAGTTCTCAGTGTAACTAAGTGCTCTAAGGTATTGGATGTACCATTGAACTATTAGGAAGATAGTAAATTATTTAATCAGATTAGAATGCAAGTAGCACTAATATGAACATGGCACTTGATTTATGCTATGAAGGAAAATCAAATTTATTCTTTTCTGTTTGCTTAGGTTCGTGTGTTCACATTTTCTGTCGGTCAACATAATTATGACAAAGGCCCCATACAGTGGATGGCCTGTCAAAATAAAGGTATGTTTATGTGTCCCTGCTCATAACTTCATAAAGCTTCAGCTTTACAAAAAACTATTTTATATTATTATTTGCCTGCTTTGCAAACTTATTTTATTGTGTCAATGAGCATTTGATATAGATGAAAAAAATGGTTTTTGTCTTAATTGGTTTTAAGGGAAAACATATCGGATGGACTAAAGACTAGTATTATTTGTATAGTACTGTTACTAATAGCATTAGTGTTTATTGCTAGTATTACTTTGATGTAGTAATGTATAAAACAACTCTCATCTTCATCCCTTCCCCTTATACTTAGAATTAGATTTTGGGGTATTTGATGGGAGAGAGAATTACACAGGCAGTTTGCCAAGTCTGAAGCATGTTAATTGCCCATAGATACCAAAGTAACTACTCACTGTGTATAGTTTCAAAACACCTGAACTGATTTAATTAACTTCAGCTGAATAATCAGAAACAAAGTGAGAATATAATAAATGTTACCAAGCTACATGGTTTATAAAGAATCCAGCTGCCACTAAAACTCTGAACGGCTCTCTGACTCTTGCTATTTGCTTGGGATTTTTTCTCAAGATAAATCTCTAGAAATGGAAAGACATCAGCAAGATGTGCCAATGTGTCCTGTTAATCATTGCAGCACCATTACATTTGGCAGAATTGTTTCAGATCCAGAAAGTTCTTGGTTTTTTCCTCTGGACTTGGTGGGTAAAAACTTTCTGTAAGGATTGCATAGAGACAAAAAACACTGAAACGGGCGGGAACATTAATAATATCTGTTCTCCAAATGTGATGATCTAGGTTAAAAAAAATGGGAAGACTTTTAAATGTCCTTCAGGATATTTCCTGAAAACCATTTTAAAATATCTTAATGAGCTAGTCAAAAGTTTTTTTTGACAATAAGTGCATGCTGATTTCTAAAAAAGCAAAATTGCAACTATTGCTCTGCAACTTTCCTCAGGAGAAACGGTGTAGTCACAGGCAGAGACACATTGCATAATAGCCAACAGCATAGAAGCCTTAAAAACCAAGGCTCTTCAAGGATAAGAGGTTTTTGGGGTTTTTTTTTCCTTTTTCCACAGTAATTTTGAAAGTTCTCTTTTTTTTCTTTGCATCCCAATGAAAGCAAGTATTAAAGTCTGCAACCTGTTCATGTAATTTAAGCTACTTTCCATTATTCCTTCAGGAAAAAGTGATAGGGTAATTGATACTCCCTGATGAAGAGGATAGTGGTATTTTATCATTTCTGTTATACATTTTAGGTTACTATTATGAAATCCCTTCCATTGGCGCAATAAGAATAAACACACAGGTAAGTCTGTAGTGCTTGCACACTGTAGACCTACTCATAAGTAAAAAAAAGTCACAACAGTAATAAAATGTTGTAGATACTATTTTTGTTTAGTCTAACAAACCAAAAAAATGTCTGTTTGAACAAAGTAAAAATAGTATGAACATAATACCTGTAAGATCTAACATATTAAGACATTCCTTCAGATCTGAGTTATTCTACAAAAGTATTTAACAGGATTTCTTTTCTTTTATTTTAAAATCTTTTATGTTGGTGGTTGTACTAGATAATCCTGAAGGTCCCTTTGAATCCTATGATTCTATGAATCCATGCTAGTTGAAAACCCTGAATATTTAAATGAAAATTTAAGAAGTTTTCTTGTGGAGTTGTTGGTAATTCTTGTATTTGTTGGACCAGCAAATAACGTAATTTCAGCCATTTTGGCATTGCCAGAAAGAGACATAATGTGCTAGGCAAAAATATATGAATTCGAGATGGTCAAATTTATCTATGGATTTTCCAAGTCAAACCAAAAATAGGAGTTATTCCTCATAGGGCGCATCTACATGTCACCATACGGTGACATTACTATGGCACTGTGCTTTAGTACTTCCTTTTGGAACATGACTAAAGCACGGCGCAGTAGCCGCCCATACTGTGCCGTGTGTGCAGTGCATGGTTGGATTTTGCTGCTACATTGCCATAGCAGCATGCTAAAATGAGGGAGTGCACCACTGTGGTGAAGTAGCTGATGATCACATGTAGACTCACATGATCGCTCTATCACCATAGCACACTGTACAGCGATGTAGCTCATTGCTGTGGCAACGTGTAGACTTGTCCGTTAGATCCCTACTCTCGGTCCATGCTCCTGCACTCACTGAAGGCAGGAAATACGCATGATCAACATACTAAAGATATTCGTTCCAATAAGGACTGTCCCATGAAAGCCACTGCAAATGATTATAGATATACCCAAGGCCAAATACTATTTTACCTTTGTGAATCTAAGTGCTACTTATCTGCTCAGATGTTGCTGTGTAAGTGGCATGCCTGTCATTTACACAGAGTTTAGATTGAATTTCGACTTGCATAACATGCTCAGGAGGCTCCGCTATGGCTCTATATACTCTGTGGCAAAATAGGACTGGCGAGGCAGGAAGGTAAACGTGGGCAAGTGTTGCTGCACAAGTGGAAATTCAATCTCAAATCTACATCAGTGCCAACATTTGCAGCTATGTTTAGATGTGGAAGTAGCACTTAATTGGTCCTTAGTTACCAATCTGCTATTTAAACCCCATATTTATAGTTCTGTCCATAAATACTTATGAGCTGGTTGCTCCTGGTGTATGAACCATTTAAATGGATGGATTCTGATGCTCAGTTTCTTCAGGCCTTTTTTTTTCTTCAACTTTGTGCTGGAAAAAATGTGGGGATTTGTTACAGCTATGTCTAGTGCTAGATCAGAGAGCCTGGAAATTGACCTGGCTTCTGTAGGCACTTCCCCTAACCCATTTAAAGTTACTCCATAATTTTACCTTTTCATACTATGCATTCCACCCATACACCTCAAACCATTTTACAAGGATGTGTAAATGTGTAAGTAATCACTTCCCCCTTTTTCTTCCCCATAGAGTTGAGGGTCCTGTGATCTTGTAAATTTATCTTGTAAATATATCTATATTTCATTTTTGTGTATGTGAATACTGGAAAGAAAACTGGTAGAATATCTGTTGGGTCTTGACTCTTCAGTGCTGGGACTGCCTCAATGTTCCCCATGCTGGAATCAGTTTGGGGTCAGTTTAGACTAATGCCTGCCCTTGAAAGGACAAAGAACATGAGAGTTTGTCTGTCTAATATCACAGGTGCTGAATTTTGCCCCGTAATCCTGATTCCATTGTATTTGTTTTCTGTCATTTGATTTGTTTTCTTTTTGGTACTGTTTCTGGATGTTGGTTCAATAATGATGTGCCAATGATGAAATTCTCAACCTTCTTGACAGGAATATTTGGATGTTTTGGGCAGACCTATGGTTTTAGCTGGAAACAAATCAAAACAAGTACAGTGGACCAATGTCTATTTGGATGCACTGGTATGATCTAGATTTATTTCTATAGTAAAATAACAATCTCAATAACGAGTATACTTGTTTGTACGCTTAATAATCATTGCATTCAGAGTCTAAGGAAAAACAGAATCTTATTTTGCTGAGATCGGAGGTATAGCATGGGAAAAATGCACCATGAGCAGATACTCCCTTCTTCCCCCCATCTTCTTCAAGTGCAAGAACAGAACAGAGCCAAACGGTGTGAAGGCATTGTGGGAATTGTAGTTCTCTAGACTGGCCAGGGAAGTTTGCTGCTTGCTGCTGTGGAGAAAACTTTCACCCTAATTTTTTTCAACCCAACCCCATGTTCAGAGGACAACCTCCAACCCCCATTCCCCCAACCCCCCCCAAAAAACCCAAAAAACCTCCAGCTCCGCTGTACTAAACTATGATTTCCAGAATGCTTTGCTTCTGCTTTCTGGAGCCAGAATTTGTCTACAGAGTGCAGCAAGACAGCAGGCATATCAGTGAAGTAGGCTGCAGCAAGTAATCATGGGGTGATGCCATCCTGATGCCCCTACCCTTAGCCAATACCCCTTACTGAGGCATGTGCCCCTCTTCCCCACCTCGTGTTACACCTACAATGCATCATTTAATGCTTTCATGAACTGTGAAGG